GCCATCTGCTGAGGCCCACTGGGGTTCAAGGAGACACTTTAAATTTATGCTTCCTTTCAGCTGTAGTCTTGTGGATTTGGAAATAATTTTCCTCAAGTTTTGCAATAGTCAAACTTCCCCTATAGATGCTAGAAGACCTGAACTCTTCTTCCTCTTATTTTTCTTTTTTTTAATTGAATTCTTCTGTCACAGAACGAAGACGTCAGACCGCACATCAGAGAACAGTTCCGTTTGCACGACCTCCTTCCTCCAGACTGAGGATCCTCCGTTCATGCGTCACTTCAACATTGTTTGTGGGAAAGACTCGGCAGAAGGAGATGTTCAGTGGTTTTCTGTTTGCGTAAACATTGCCATAGCTAAAAAAAAAAAAAGAAGAAAAAACAAGCTCTGATTCAAAACATCCTGGATGTTGAACAGGAGCAGAAGACCTTCTGGAGGGTAGTTTGTCTCTAACACAACCATTTTGGATTGACAGAAGTGAATGTGGCGTGACGTCGGTTCGTACGGACCTCGTTGGTTCCAGCCTGACTTTAAGGGGCCGGGCAAACCTGTATATTATTCATTCTGGTTACTTGTAAATAATATGTACATAACTGTTTTTTTGTTTTTTTTTCTCTAAGGTTTTTAAGTCGTTTTATTTTCACTTTGGATTTTAGTATGTACTCTTTTGATCGGTTGCTTTTTATAAAACCCACAAACTGTCGTGTTTTCTTTAAAATTGTTAAGCCGATGCTTTTTTTTTTTTTTTTCCTGTTGTATGCCTGCAGTATTCCTGTGATGCTTTTCCCCGTAACATGCAGTCGTCTGTAATAAGGTGCAGTTTTTAAAAAGAAAAGAAAAATAAGTCTGTTTCTGAAAGGTTTTAAAATTAAGATATATAAGCTAGGATAAGGTCTCAAACGAATACAAAGCCATAACGGCCAAACAATAATTTTAGAGATTTGTATCCGAGTATCCATTTCTGATTTCGACACTTTGATCGTCCTCTTTGTGGGGTGCGGGGGGGGGGGGTTCAGGCATCTTGCACTTTGACTTCCAGCCCTTTGTAAGTTGATATAATAAAATCTTGTCACTTTTCTACACAGGTGTCAATCACCTCAATTTGATATTTAGGGGGAAGATAAAATTTGTAGCACCAGCAAATGACCAACATTGCTTTCAAATCTCGTTTTCCAAACATCTTATTTGTCAGATCTCTGTAAGAGTCACAGGTTTAATTGACTATTGAATGATCACTCCTGGTGTATTCAGTGTTACTCAATGGATTTCTGAAAATAAATACATTTTTATACGACTTTAAAGTTTCCTTTTTGATAGGAATATTAATGCATTTAGAATAGAAATACTTTATTATATGTTTGCAGAAAAATTGTCTTTGGCTTGCTCACACACAACAGTCATAAAATAGATTAAAATACAATTATAAAAGAGTTAATTGCAGACAGATCAGCAGCAGATTCACTTGATCAAGGAAAAGGAAGCAGAACAGACTGAGAAATTTACAACTTGTTCAACTCTTTGATGGCAGAGTGAACAAAATCATTTCTGTACACATTTTCTTGGCACAAAGAAGTCCGACTGCCGTGATGGAAGGAGCTCAAAGTGACGGGAAAGTGGACGACTATCGTGATCTTATGACTGATCCGATGCTTTACTGCAACCATGGGACCAATTGATTTGATGTTGGTCTGTAATCTTGCTGCCCTGTTTAACAACTTTGCCAAGTTTAGCTTTGTTTTTTGGCAGTTAAACGACCAAACCGAGAAACTATTTTACATTTCAAATACAGTGCAAATGTGTGGGGACATAAAATGTCCAAGTCTAGAGTCAGAAATAAAATTTCTTACTCTATAGACTCTTTACTATAGAAGAAAAACAATCTCATTAAAATCTGCCATTTTTTTACTCCGTATTTTAAATACTGAAATTTTTAAACACTGAATTTTTATCTGGTAAAAATTCACTTGAAAAAATTTTAGCTGCAAAAAAATTGCCTGCAGAAATTCAAAGTTTAAAATTCGGTATATAAAAAAATATATATTTCAATGAGACTGTTTTTCTTCCATACCGATTTCTCAGATGATTAAAATATTACATTATGAGGTAACATATGGCCTACATACTGGAAGACGATACAGTGTATATATATATATAT